CCCCCCCCCCCCCCCCCCCCCCACGCGCGCGTCGCTGCTAATGTCATAACCCCTCGTGTGCGACTGCCACGACCGAAAAACAGAGACAACGAGCGTCGCCGTGATCTTCGGCATAAGTTGGAGAGAGCGCGTCTGACATGCCCGCTCTTCGACACGCGACGGTGGGTCCGCGACGCGGAAGACGTGTTGCGACAGGCATGGGAAAGACACGAGGCCGGACTGCCGCCGGCGCACTGCTGCAGCCGTCGTCGCGTTAGTGTCGAGGGCGCCGAGCGACGTGATGGGGGGGCGGGGGGTTTCAGTTAGCGCCAGCACTTTCTCAGAACGTCTACAATGTAGTTTTGGTCGAGACTGGGGTTGGTTTTTCTTTTTCCATCAATAGTTCCTAGGGTTGCGCTTTAATTTTTTCATGTAGCCGCAAAGCTATGCTTTGGTTTTAGAGCAGGGGTTCTCAACCGGGCACACAAATGGTGTTCAAGTTCGTAGATTTTGAGTTGTTCGAGGCTGTATATCAATCCCTGTACTACCAAGTTTCTGAGCGCGGGCGCGAACTGTAAGCTTAGAGAGACAAAAGAGAGAGACGCAAGGAGCGCTGGTTGTACGAATTGCTTACTTTTTTGTCATGAAGTAGTATTTGCCGTGGGGGGGGAAGAATGCGCGGCGTTGAGACGGGGGTCGTTCCAGATGGGCGACAAAGCTTTCATTCTTGCTTATCCTGATATGGTTCGATTCCTTATGGTTGGATTCCTGTGTCTGTTTTACAGCAAGCTTCCATCCGGTCCTAAACTGGAGCAAAGATCTGGGGGCGGGGAATGTACTTCCTCTTTGGTAGTCACAGCAAGTGGTTGGGTAGTTTGTAAAATGTGGATGGTTTGTGAAGTGTGAAGTATAAATTGAATGGGTCTACGTGTCCTTGTTTCTTTCCCTAGCGAACGTCCGTTGCCATGCTCTCCCGCACGAACAAAGCAGAGCAGACAACCGATTCTCCGGCACAGGGCTCACTACAGAATAGCGCACCCACGGCGGGCATGATGTCTGATTTCATGTTTGCGTCAGTTGTGACTTCCCAACGAGGTCCGCTGTGTGCATGAAGTCACCGTGTGGTCATCTGTACAGAAAGAGGAAGACGGCAATGCCCTCAACAGAGTCCACACTGTAGAGTGTATTTCACATTTGCTTGTTGTCGGCCGTCTTTCGAGAGGGTATTTTCGTCTTTTCCTTCTGCCAACCTTCTGTGTGACGACGGGTTGGAGTAAACGGCACAGATGTAATGCTGTGAGCGCTGATATGAGTGAAGAAAAAAAAAAAAACTGACTTGGACGAAAAAATAGGATTCCCTAATCCCGACCCCTCGTCACGTACCTCTCTAGACTTCTGATGGTGAAATCAACAAGGCTGTGAGGCACGCAGGTAGCCCTGGTCGATCGGTGGCTGTGAGTGAATGTGCGCCACTACAGCGCACTCCCAAAAATCTGCAATCAAGGATTCGTGGCACGGGACTGTCGGCAAATCTATTTTTTTTTGTAACCGTCACATCCGACGAAGCGAGGCCGCGTACAGTTGTCGGCAACTTCATGGAGATAGACTTGGTGTACCGTAGTCCGGAAACTTTCTGCTGCGTGCCTTGTTTGGCCTCCCGTCCAACATGTAGTGTATCTCGAAGAGCTTGAAGACCGGCACGCTGATAACGAGGCCTCTACAGCTGTAGTAGAAGCTCTACTTCGTACGGCACAACGCCGAGTAAAGTATAGTCTATCGGCACACCGGAGACCGCAAGACCGCAATTTACTCCGCCAAAATGGGGCCGAAGAAAAAGGCAGCGAAAGCTGCAGCAGCGCCTGCCGGTGGGGCGGCGGCTGGGCCAGGGGCGGGAGGGGCCGAGACGTCCACTGCTATCACTTTCACTCCCGCTGAAGCCAAGAAATTGGCGAAGCTCCTGAAAGCCTCAGACCGCGGCAAACGCCTGGATGCCATCGGTGTTGTGTCAGAGAACCACAAATACATCGCTAGCGGGGGATGTCTGCTCCCGCTCCTGGAGTCTGTTGTGACCAAGAAGAAGATGGAGGAGGTAGTCCTGGCTGCGTCACAGGTACGAAACAACGCTACAGCCATGCCAATTCGTCGTTATGCGTTGTGCCTCTTGCGAGAATATCGCGGCTAGAGAAGGTCTCGCGTCGTAGGCCGTACAAAACTACTACTTTCGATGTACGATTGTACGGCGCAAACTACTGTTGTATGTATGGGGTGATTGTCGAACCCCCCCCTCTCGCCCCTCGTTGCCCACTCTTTCTGTACCGCCGATACTCTATTGGTGCTTTCAGTGGTTCACCTCTGCCGATGGCCACGGTGACTACTGTACATGTTTCTTTGGCAAAGGGGCACAAATTGCCCCGTTGAGGAGCACAGCTACTGCAGTACATCGAGTGTTTGCAAACGAGAGGCTCACGATAGGACATTCGCAATACCTGCGAAATACAGGCTAACACGCTTGTGCAAGCGCGTGATGCCCATATCGATATGTTACACAGTTGCCATGTCCATCCAGCCATCATTTCCGGTGCTTCCCATACCCGCAAAAGGCTACTGCGCCGTACTCTTCCCCTCGCTGCTACTCAACAATACGGAGGGCAATTTACGATGCTCCGTCTTCGTCTCAACTCTCATAACATCCTCCTAGTACTCCAGCCTACTCTGGCCCAGTACTCGCGGTGTACGGGAATTCCATGAACACATGTACCACAAGAATCGCTACAAGAGGGCCTTTTGTTGTCTAGCTTGTTCTATCCTTGCTTTTTACGGCAATACCCAGCGTTCGCACGCCGGTGAAAATGGCTCTCCCCTCTTCGCGCTCTCGGCAAGAACAGGTGATCGTCGACTACCTGGTTGGACGAGACGCCAGAGGAGACCCGACGGTGGTGACCGATTCCGCGATGGCAGCCCTGCAGGAGGCAAAGAAGAAGCGGGCAAAGTACAAGCTGGCGGAGGTGCTCACCAATTTGATGCTTAACCCCGACCAGCAGAACTCTTGGAACGCCGTGCGGAGTCTGAGGTCCATAGCTGCGGCCGTGGTGAGACTTCTTCTTGATGTTTACGCTGGGTGTAGTGTAGCAGCCGTGTATTTATGAGCTGATTCTCTTCGAGCCTCCCTCGCTCCCTCCCCCCCTCCCCCTCCCTCCCTCCCATTCACGCTCGCCCACCCTGCCTCTTCTCTCACTGTCTTTACCTCTCTTTCTCCAAAACAACGTTTCTCCTTCTTCACCCTCCCTCTGAACATTGTCGCTGGCAGCACTCGCTTCCGGCGGGCAGCTCGCAGCACGCGTCATTGGGCGCCGTGCTCCTCAAACCGGGGAAGCCCGTCGAGCGACTGTGCGGCTACCTCGTCGCGCAGGAGGCCCAGCGAAGCACCTCCGTTGAGACCCCGGAGGCGAAGAAGGGGGCAGCTGCCGAGGGGAGAGATCCCGTTGTCCCCTGGCCGGTGGTGCGCCTCCAAGTCATGGACACTATCGGAGTGATGTGCGGGGTCAGCGACGAGGCGGTTCAGGCCGTCGTTTCCACGGGGACTGTGCGTTGCGTGCTGGGGGTGTTGAGGTAAGCTTATTCAGCGTGGGAGGTGATGTGTAGCATTCGCATATGTAGAG